TTGTAATTACAGACTCACAATCTTCTACCAAGATATGCTGTAGCAGTGTCACGTTCTTCTGCACACGTCTCTTCCAAGTGGGTGCCCAGGAATCACCTATTTTCGTTCTTCTTCTTTCGCTTGTAGTCCAATCTCTCTCAACCTCCAGAAACTTCTGAAATCCAACTAAGAAAGTACCTTCTTATGACCAATAAGAAGTAGGTGGTGTTTCAGTTTAAGGAATTGATGTTTTTTCCAACAGGTGGTTATATGATCTCAAGAATCAAATGATAGAATCAATGTAAGAATATCTTGAATCTTTAAAGGATGATAGGAATAAGTAATATAATGAAGAACCACACCAAAATTCGTCCAATGGGTTGGGTATTTATAGGAGGGGAGAATTAGGTTGAATGGCCAAGAAAAAGTCTCAAAAATCGATATTAGGTATGGCTGAAAAACATCATCGCTCGAGCGAGGAGCATACTTCGCTCGAGCGAAGGGCATGTTGCTCGAGCGACATGTGGGCGAAGGTCGAGCGATGGTGTCTCTGTTTCATCTGCTCGAGCATCATTCCGGCGAGCAGCTAGCAAAAAATCGACGCGAATCCTTCTTATTCCAAACATGAAACCCCAAACCCTAAGCTAACCTACCAACTATGAAACTTTACAATTCAATCCCTAAACTTTTATAATTGTTTAAGTTGGTCCTTTTGTTCACAGAATCGCCAATACAATATATAAATCTAACAGATGCCAGATAAAAATTACTTACAAAGGAGTTGTTGTGATTATATTTTTACTTGCATTAATAAACTGTTTGATCCCAAATTGAGAAAATATGAGTTATATAAATAATATGTGATTATAATAGTACATAACGTACAAATTAAATTTGCGTGGAACTCGTAGACATAAATTTGTAAAACCTTATATTTTCACTCTGAAATTTTGTCTCGTCGTTCCTCTTTAGAAAACACTTAGATGTAAGCTCTCAAGGGTAATATTTTTGCCTTTTAGAGTTTCATTGCTTATTTTTTGTCTTAAAATAGAGTCTTTAAGAACTAAATTCTATTGCATTTGTTAGGTCTTTTGGAGGTTAATGGCAATCATTCTCAGACAAAGCTTACAAGTATGTGAAAACTACTATATCACGAGGCTTACAAACTTTCGGAGGCTTCTCGTGATTGACTTCTCTTGTACAATTTAATTTTTGGAGATTTTGATGTTTTTGAGTGATGAATAAGCTATCTGTTGCATATTCGCCTGTTAGGCAGGAAGATCTTTTCTTTTCATAATTGACAGCTCGAGAAACACTTTCGCAGCTGAACTCCAACTACAGGAAATATCTTTAGTGGAAGAGGGATGAATATGTGAATGATCTCCTTTTGAACCTATGTCTTGTAAGATTGCCTTTATTTTCTTTGAATTTCATGTGTAAGACGGTTTTGCATTCAAATTTAGAAATGCTAGACATTTGCCAACATTAAGTTCAGGCTTCCCATTTATCTTCCATTTATTGTTACTGAAAAAATCTTGTTGATTTATTGACTATGATTCTTGCTATTATATGCATTTTAATATTTGACCCCACAATATAAAAAGTTTGAATCCGCACTTGACAGTAGTTACATCTGCCTTAACACATGTAATGATGCTAGTGCTAAGATCTACTGGAATTGTAAAAGACGAGCAATCTGTGAACACACGACCTCCTATTCTACTATGAAATGAGATTGATTGTTCATATAACCATATTTGACGTTAATATTTCATCCATGCTTCATTTTGAATTTGAATTCGCATATTTTCAGCATCTTGAATTAATTCGTCTATCCTGATTCTCATTCAATAAAATATCGAAAGTTTATGTTATTGTACTTTTGGTATGTTTTCGGTTATGTAGTATTTTCTGT